GTTTAAAACCATATCATTGCCTTACTGTTTCTGATATTTATTGTAACCCTGGGCTGTCTGCCGCTGAAGATAAGCCTTAGAATAAAATGAATACTTGTTTTTTTCCTTTCATCAAAATTATCTAAAGAACAAAAGGTTCGAAATTTTGATGATGCAAAAAAAGAATAAGATAATTCCGTTTTATACAGCTCCTTTTGCTAATCACTACTGTCTTTTTCCATGTTTCTGCTGCTTTTATGTTGAAAGCACCAAGAACAATAGTTAGTAAACAAGAAGCTAAAAAAATTTTGTGTAAAATACTAACCATCTGTTGATGTGACGAAAAGAAGTTGCTGCAAGTCTACTAATGCGTCACTGTATTGCAACAAAATTAGTCCTTCTCATTACATGGATTGACTGGATTCTGTCGGTTGCATTTACTGCATGACTCGAATGGCAAATGTACACTGTACTCAGTGTTCCCAATGCCTAACTTGAAGCCCTACCTGAGATAATTATGTTCATCTTGACATTTGTCAGCTTGGTATATCAACAACCTGACGATTTCTCAAAGATTCCATTTTTTTTTCATTCACTATCAAAACTACATATCTCACTACTAATCTATCCGAATCACATAGTATAAAGTCTAGATTCAAAACCAGTAATATATAATAAATGAATATCACGAACAATGATCATTCAAAATTCCTGTTAGGTAGGACTCTTCAATGCATATGAGTAAACTTTATGAAGCCTAGGAAACAACCTGCAAAGATCGGCAGAGTCTGCTAACCGAATCAGAGTAACCTGAACACTCCTCTTCATTTTTTATTGTTATAAACCAAGTTCATCTTTGGTCATCTCATATATTACTATATCATTTGAGATGCTCAAATCAAATGAACTAAGTATCCATGAAAGGGCTAGCAACCCTACCCCGTGAAACAAATCTAATCACTACAGAAACTTCAAAGCACAAACGATATATAAAAAATAATAAAAAAAATTATTCCTCGCTGGAATCGGAGAGGCGAAATGACGCCAGTTGGTGAAAGCCTTCAAGAAGCCTATTGGCCGATGTGTCTTCTCTCGATGAAAGCGAAAGTAAACGTGGGGACATGGAATGTCCGCACCATGTTTGAAACCAGCAAGGCAGTCCAGATTGCAAAAGAGATGAGGAGGTATCACATTGAAGTGCTTAGAATTTGCGAAAGCAGATGGAATGGGAGTGGACTCTCCAGACTGTCAACTGGAGAATCAATAATCTACTCCAATATTGTCACTAGACGGTAAACACGAGCACACTGAGTGATGGAGTGGCTATCATGATGTCCCTTGATCAAGAGCATCGAAGGCTCTCTCTCATGCAGTGGGAACCAATCTCCTCCACAATCAGGATCATGACAGCAAGATTCAACTCAAAAGGAAGGAAGGAAGGAAGGAAGGTCACAATCATACAATGCTACCCTATGCACCTACAATTAATGCAGATGAAGAGAAGAAGGAGGAATTCTACAGACAACTGCAATCAACACTGGACAAGACCCCATCTCAGTTGGCGATATCAAAATTCTAATGGGTGGGGTGACAGGAATGCCAAACTGGAAGGGGACAACACAGGAAGAGAACTAACCACGGGTCCAGAAGCGCTCGGTGAGGTGATGAACGAGAATGGAGAATCGTTTGCAGGATTCTGTGCATTCAACGATTTGGTGATTGGAGTCAGGCAGTGTGTTCAAGCACAAGGATATCCACAAAGCGAGCGACATAGATTTCACCAGACACCACGACACACTACACTAAAAATCAGATCGACTTTATCTCAATGTGAAGAAAGTGGAGATGCAGCCTACTTGACACAAGGTCAAGAAGAGGAGCAGATGTAGGATCAGACCAGTCACTATCTAGTCCAAGCAACCAAACTTCCAAATCAAGTTAAAAGCCTTCGACGAAGCTGGTGATAGACCACAGTTCAAGTACAACACTCGAAAACTGAAGGATGAAACTACAAAGGAAATCTTCACAGCAGCCAGCCATCAAGACAAAATGGGAGATATTGAGGAACATCCCTGAAGAAACCTGTGTAGATGAACACTGGAAGTCTTTGAAAGAGAAGTGGAGAGAAACCTGCACAGCCGTATTAGGAAGGAAGAAGAAAGAAGATAAGAAATGGATCTTGATGTATACATGGAAGCTGATAGAGAGGAGGATAGTGAAACAGAAGATAAACCAGTGAAAGGATGCACAACCACAAGAGGAACTGAGTACAGTGTAAGAAACATTACACTGGACAAAGAAGTGAAGAAGAGTGTACGTAAAGACAAAAGACACTTCTATGACACATTGGTAAGTGAAGCAGGACAGGCTGCAAGTAGGAGAGGCAGAGACCTGACAACATTGTATCAAATAACCAGGTCACTTGCTGTCTGGGAGGAGATCAACGCAAACGAAACCAATAAAAGATGAGGGAGGAAATTTACTTAACAAAGGAGAGAAACAAAGGAAACGATAGGCAGACCACTTCAAGAAGCTCTTGAATCGACCACCACCTGCAATTCGTCCACAAATACCACCTTCAGCCCAGCCACGGAACTACAAGTGAACATAAATCCTCCAACAAAATGGAAGTCCTGAACGCCATAAAGCTACTGAAATTCGGGAAAGCAACAGGACCAGATGGAATCCCACCAGAAGCACCGAGAACAGAAGCAGAGACAACAGCTGGCATGCTCAAACCACTATTGCAGAAGGTTTGTCGGGAAGGAAGGGAAGGCACCTGTAGATTGATTCGAAGAAGGTTACCTTGTCAAACTCCCGAAGAAGAGAGACCTCATTGTTTGCAAGAACTGGCGCGGAATCACTCTCCTGTCCACCCAAAGCAAGCAAAATATTAGGCGGCATCATCCTGGAGAGGCTAAAGGATGCACTGGATTCAAAACTACGACCAGAACAGGCTGGCAGGCTTCAGGAAGTACAAATCATGTGTGGACCGAATTGCAACGATACACTACGCATCATCATAGAACAGAGTATAGTATGGCAGTCAACTCTCTATCTCAACTTCATCAACTTTGAAAAGGCCTTTGACAGCGTCGACCGAGAGGTAATTTGGAAACTGCTTCAATACTACGGAATACCACAAACATTTATCAGCCTAATTCAACAACTATATGAAGACGCCACATACCAGCCAAGTAATTCATAATGGGCAGCTCAGTGATGCTTTTGAAGTGAAGATAGGAGTGAAACAAGGTTGCCTACTATCACCCATGATATTCGTGATCATGGTCGACTGGACTCGATCATGCAACAAACAATGAGGAGCGAGAAGAGAGGGATATACTGAACCGCGGAAAAGAACCTAGAAGATCTGGATTTCGCCGATGACTTGTGTCTAACGTCACACAAACTTGAAGATCTACAGGCGAAAACTAACAAGTTGGCAGAAGAGGCAGGGCAGCGAAGGGAGACGGGACTTCAGGTGAATATAGAGAAGACAGAGGTGATGAAGATACCGCACCACCAACAACAACAACAAATTCCAGTCACCATCAACGGGAGAAACTTAAAGGAAGTAACCTCCTTCACTTATCTAGGAAGCACTATTTCAACTACAGGTGGGACAGACGAGGACGTCAAAGTCAGAATCGGAAAAGCAAGACAGGCCTTCATTAGCCTGAAACCAGTGTGGAGATCTTCTGCACTCCACTCAGCATGTGGAACAACATTCGGATTTTCAACACCAACGTCAAGTCAGTGCTTCTGTATGGCGCAGAGAATTGGTGCGTCACGAAAGGGATTTCCAATAAACTACAGACATTCATCAACAACTTCTTACGCTGGCTCGCTACTGAAGATCAGATGGCTAGAACAATGAGAATAAGCAACAAGGAGCTCTGGGAACGAACCAACCAAGAACCCATCGCTCAACAAATATGCAGTGGGAGGAAGTGGAGATGGATTGGGCATACACTGAGAAGGCCGACTGGGGACATCATGCGTCAGGCCAGTTGCTCGAGTGGAATCCCCATGGGAAGCGACGAGTTGGACTTCCGTGGGTGACATGGGGGAGGTCGTGCGAGGAGGAAATGCGAGCTTCTGGGCTGTCGTGGAACCAGGTTGAAAAGATCTCAGAGAACAGAGGTCACTGGAGACGTGCTACTGAAGCCCTATGTTCCATTAGGAACCCAAGGGACTAATAATAATAATAAAATTCATGTAAGGATAAAACTGTTTACAGTCTGGTATTTACCAAAGAAATACCTAGAAACTCCTGGACTCTACTTGACATAGAAATTTCCGACATTTTCACTAAACGAATACCGTGTTTACTATTAAGTCTCAAGATATATCACGCAGCTTTAGGGTCATCACAACTTCTAGACCGACCAGATTGTAGAAACAGTTTTTTGTATGAGAATAGGCTCATAACAAACCAGCAATCGGCTGCAATAGCTGTAACAAAAATACGAGCGCAAATGACTTGCTCAACTTAACCATCTCTTTCCAATCTAAGTCTGACACCGTCAGTCGACATAGTTGCTCTCACAACTTATGTCATCCTGATATGTTGAGTACTGCATACATTCAATGTAGCCACCGTATACTTTTAAGTGTTCAGCATGTAGTGGGATACAAAATAATAATTTCATAGAGAGAAGCCTTCAAATTGATTAAATAACTGTTTCGTTTAAGAACTCTCTCTTACAAATACAATTTTCTGCATTATTGAAATGTAAAATTACAGGGCAGTGATTTGTACTAAAGAAAAATCTGAGTTGCGCTAAGATTCGAAGTAGTAGCCCACCTACTGATGGATAAGATATAACTGTTAAAAAGGCGCTAAATTTCACTTGATGTTTAATAGTCTCTTACGTGAGTACCAGTGGTGGCTGGTTAGCAGTCTACTGACAAAAAGATCACAGTTAAACAAGTCAATATCCTAAAAAGCAAACGAAAGTGTATGAAATACATTAAACGTCGAAGAAGAAAATTGTTTTATACAAACTGAACCATGTTAATAATAATAATAATAATAATAATAATAATAATAATAATAATAATAATAATAATAATAGCAGTAATAATGTAGTACTGAAATAATTGCTATTGATAATTCAACAATGTTTTATGCTTTCAGATAGATACGCGTCTCTTTGTAGGCATATACTGAAATGTTTCAAATACTAAAGGGTTTACTGATGACTTTAGGTCATCTTCAAAATTAATGACATCATTTGTTAGTAATACATCAGTATGAAATTGCCTACTTGTTTGTTTTGTACTTTCGTCAAGTAGACGTTGCTCTTTATCTTCCTTCTCACAGTTCTTTTTCTCAAACACTTCCCTCTGCTGTTCTTGATGAATTCTAGGAAAACGTTTATAGGATAAGTATAAAACTGGACTCATATTTAAAGTACTTAACTTAGATTGTGAATTCATTAACTCAGAAGGATTTTGGTGGTTAGGAAGACTATTTACAAACGACTGATCAGGGTTAAATGGATCTGCATAATGGTTAAGTGAAGGTGATAACTTGGTTATCGATGATACTGGCGGTGGTTGTGTTGATAATAATGATAAAAGATGCGTTTCTGAAGACTGTCTTGGAATTAGGTTATGATTGAGGGGTTTTAAACCGTCTGAACTGAAAGATGGATGCATAGGGTCGGAAAAGAATTTTTTCCGCTTACTGTGCTTATTTGGTAAACTGAAATGATCGGATGAACTCAATTCATGATTTCTTAGATAATAATCCGACACTGAATTATTTGAACACACAATACACTCTTGATTTAATAAAGAATATAGATGAGTATGATTTTCTATATCATCATGTAGACAGGTTTTATGTACCGATTGATTATTAACTTCAAATCCGTCTTCACTGTCTTCTTCTTGATTGGTTGCATACCTTTGAAGAGGAGTATAAAGTTGATTGCCATGTAAAGGTTCACGTGTGCAATTACGGTCAAACGAATATCTGTGCATTGTTAATGGAGACATTTTGGAAGTCAAAGATGGATGAGCATGAGAAGAATGATCTCTACAGTCCGGATAGATAAAATGATTTTCACAGTATGATTCACTGTTCAAAGAATTCGGGGAATTCGGTAACTCATTTGCAGAATTCTCTTCATGCATACTGGTAGGAATTCTTCGTGTTACTTCATCGTAAACTACAAATGGCTGATGGTGAGTCAACCGTTGGTGAGGATGTTCAACATAATAACTCAACGGGAACTGCTTGTTGTTATGGTAACAACTGTCGCAAACATCTTTTGATTTGTCATGTCGATTACTACTGATATTGTTACATGTCACCGGTGATAATATTAAACTCCCTTCAAGTTTATGGTTAAGATTACTATTATCTGTAGCTGAGGGTGAGGTCAAAACACCAGGTGAGGAAGACTGTATTTTTTTCAAACAACGTAAACAGAAATTAAATATTTTAGCATTGTCTTGATTCGAGCAGTCATGATACAATTCAACTGCGTTGTTAATAGTGTAATTCTCTGCTTTTGCTGTTGTTTTGAATGACTCAATCTGCATTGAACCATGTGAATTAGATACTGACATGATTTGGTTATAGTTAACGAGGTTATTCATATTGTTCTGCCGGTAACTTTGAAGGTTGCAGCTACCATCATTGATTTGTTGTAACTGTTTAAGCATTAGTTGTGTTGTCGGAGGTGATGAATGTTGCTGCCATTCCATCTGTTTATCAGCACTTATAACATCCCCACGCAAACGTTGTAATTCTTGTGCATGTACAGCTGCCTCTAGTTGGTCACGTTTTTCATCTTCTGTATTCATGGTTAAAAATCTTAACACTAAGAGGTTCATAACTGAACTGACCACAGTTAAGCCAAATAAGATGAATATCAAACTAAACGCAACGTAGTCCGGACGTTTAGCCAGTGAGTTATTCCTCTGTAAAGCTACAAAATCGCCGAAACCAATTGTAGTCAGTGTAACAAAACAATAGTAAAACGAATCCAGATAATCCCAGTCCTCATAACGTGAAAACACGACGGCACCAATAGTGAGTACTGTTGAACCAATTGTGAAACTAACGATCATTAAATGGGTTTGTGATATGACCTTTTTTATCTTGCACAGAACATTAAACTTTTGTAAGATATATGTTATAATTGTATTCATACGTTCACCGATACTTTGAAACATGATAAGACATAATGGGATACCCGGCAGAGCATAACACATACAGAATACTTTACCACCAACCGTTTTCGGTGTACTGTGACCATAGCCTGTTGAAAGATACAACGTAAAATTGAAAACAAGAAGAGCGAAACAAGATAAAGTAGAGCTTCTAAATCATTATAAAACTTAACTGAATACACACCCAGAAACACCGGATGGTGACAAAAGTTGCTTTTTCGAAAGTGAGTAGTGACTAAAGTTTCTCACTTAATCTTACAGTGGAACAGCATAACTTCCTTCCAACCGACTGGCATTACCAATCATCACGCAGAAAGCAATGCTGTGTCACTTTGCTTATTCAGTGTATTAGAGAATTCAACCAATACTCAGGACTAGACGCTCTACGCTGAGGACCATGCAACAATTCAGGTTTACTTGTATAATTGTGTTTATTTCGACATGACATCGTTCTTCATTTTGAATCACTGATAGCTGAAGTCTCTGACTTCTTGTTATTTGGTGGTAACAGGTAAATAATTCAAGAATATGACTTCTTAACTGTTGATTTTAAAGTTTAATGACAAAAAGCGATACACGTGAGGAGAAACCATTTTCAGTAATATTTTCGAACAAATAACATCAAGAATATTTTTTTAATTTAAAATATCTACGAAATTCATTAATAAGAACTGCAGGAAAGCAAATGAAGCATGGTTAAGAGTTCTTAGGCATGACAAATGTTCACTAATTTGAAGATAACAAATCAAATTTCTTTGGACCACCTTGACATATTGTCGATTAAGAGAGTTTATTTTAAATTTCATGAGAACACCTTGGAAAACGCCTAGTTGTAGCCTTCTCAGTGACTGGACTTTATTCATAGGGGAATTCGCTTTTTCACTAGTGCAGAAAAGGAACACCTAAAACTTAATGAAGATTTCTTAGCAAAGCAAGAATTAAGGCTGCGATGAGCAAACGAAATCACTTACTTTATCTGTTTGAAGATCTTATTGACCTAATTCGATAAAATAATTTAATTTATTGAAAACTACGCATGTATGGTAAAGAATAAAAAATCAACAAGCCAATAGGATTTATTCATTTCAATGCAGCCTGAAGTTGAATTTCTAATGGTAGGCCCCACTAAAACAAGTACTTTTACAAAATCTCATTCATCCCTGAACATTTACTGACGCAATCATATATGGTTTGAAACAAGCCGACAGAAGTGAAAATCAAAAAAACCATTTAGCCAAGGGACTATTTAATAGGTTTTTGTTCACCTATTTATCATCTAATAAATACAAGTTGGATGACGGAACACCCGTTCACATCCATACAGCATCTCATTAGCGTTGAAACAAGATAAAAAAACCAACAGAACTGTGAAAACCAGTTGTTTGGATAGCTGGCTTCATCTTAGTATCGTTTTGAGCAACAAAAAATACTTAAACATCTGCAGTAAACTATACTAAACTAGAAATGTACTCAGTAATAGCGTGCACATTTATGTAGTTTGCAAGGATTCAGACCCATTTTGTCAAGGGTTTTTATGTTGAACTTTTGCTCATATCTTTATAGATGGTGCAGGGTTCAGTCACTTGGCCTATCGGCTGGAAGTCAAGTCCACAGACCAATCAGCCACTGCTCTAAGCTGCATAAATGTATCCTAGATCAAATAACCTAGTCTTCAATGTATTTTGGTACTTTAGTTTGAACGCAGCGAGTCAGTGTTTCACAATTTGTTGTCTTGTGATAAATAGTCACAAGGTCTGATAAACAGGTCTCTAAAGCAATAAATCAATATGCTTATAGGAATTAAAAGATAGATAACAAAATAGTTTATGAAATATATGGAATGGTTAATAGAATACATGTAACGCTTTTTTGACCTATTATTTTCATCAGTTTTTACGCTCCTTTCCGAGTAATATACATTCTATTAACCATTCCATATATTTCATAAACTATTTTGTTTATCACTCATACATCAAAGTACCTTAATCCTGTCATTAATGTTATTATTTATTATATATTGCCCGATGTTCAAATATTCATCTTCCAAACTAGTTAATCTATTCTTTCTTACCCTCAATGACTCACAACTCCATATACTTTTCATAGTCGAACTAAATTTCCCCACCCTATTTTGTGTTCAACCTTACTTGCACAATTGAAAAAAGTCTCTCTGACCGATTTGCTTATTCAGTCAGCTGTATTGCATTGATCGTAACTCCAAATATTTCGATGTAATTGGATGATCGTATAGGTCACCTTCTGTACCAAAACTTGAATATTAACCTGAAAATTAATGTCAGATTCATACTCTTGAAAAGGATCATCCTAGCAAGGTGGAAAGGTTGAGGAATCGTACAAAATATTTGTTTTTAATATACTACTCCGGGACTACACAAGTAAAAATACAGCTTATGCGAAAATCTTGCAAAAAATAATCAATAATTTACATATTATTATAATTATTATTGTGAAGTCAGTCGTAAAACAGCAAAATGGTCATACGAAGAGAGGTGTAAAAGATGGGGTAGTTTAACAAATAACTAATTCCGTAGATTAGGTATGTAGTGAATTTACGAAATATTCATTATTCGTTTGATTGAAGCGATGAAAATTGCAGTTCCTCCTAGTACTCGGCTTATTAATCTTTCTACTTTTCATTTGTCCTACATATGTATATAAAAACTCTGTTTGTGGAGAACTTGGCGATTTAAGCGCACTTGATATCATGTACCGACGTTGACCGAAGACCCATTGAAACTAGGTAGCAGAAAATAGCTGTTTTAACCCAGTTCACTTCTGAAGGGTGTGAAACAACAAAGTCATGTATAGAATAAAACCCAGGACCATCTTAGCATACAGTGAACCTATTACCATTCAGCTTCTACGTTCAAAATAATAGGGATCACTTTGTAAATTCCATCATATCTCAGTCAGTTATCGTTGGACATCATTCTGTCACTTTCATTCCCCGGTCAATCAAAGTTAACACATACTGCTTCGGGTGTATTGAGCAGTGAAGTCATCTACTGATGTATTCACCCTTATAGGAAAGTTAGGCACTGCGGCCCCAGTGCGCTAGTGGATAACGCCTTAGCATTTAAAGTGATTGGTGTCAGGTTCAAGTCTCACTAGGAAGAACATCGCTCACTGGGGGCCAGGTATATCAGCTGACGAGTCTCAGACAAGACAAAGTGCACGTTCTGGATTCCGCTACTAGCCACCAAGTAAACTACAAAATTAGACGTCTTTAGTTTACAGCAACTTGCTAAATGACCAACATCGATAAAGATTTAGAAGTCTGGCAATACTCCAGTTATCAGCTAATGATTACATATTTTGATTTGAAGATTGAAATTCCTGTGTTCAATGGAATCATTTCGATGGTGATGATAATTTTATGAGGTATATAGTCATGATGATGAAGAATTTTTATAAATATTTCGTTTAATAATGAGATTAACTCAGCTTAAAACAGTGCTGCCACAGGGTTCAGTGAATTGTATTTCATCAAACCAAGAAGAATTTATGAACAGCTTTTAAAGACTAACTTTTATCTCCAACAATTTCTGAGGTGTCTTGATATCGAATAAGTGAGGCGTCTTATCGTAAATGTAACTTTTAAGGTTGTACGCCTGAACACTAAAGTTTTGACATTCCAATTCGCAAGCCTCTCCACCCTCAACAACGGTAAACGTATTGAAGTGTTTGAAGACTTAACTCAAAGAAATCACCATCTTGTTGAACTAGTTACAAATGATCGTCAATGTTTCAAGTTGAACAACAGAAAACAACGAGGTTTCACACCTCAGTAGGTCACTCGATAGCGTTGTGACACTCAAATAAATTTCATTGTCGCAGCCCAAATCACAACAACATCAGTTACCGGGAAGAATTGCAAGTAGCAGATTTAACTCCTAGCCATTAGTCAAAACAGTCCAAGGTATTCATTTCGACTAGGTTAATAAATGATCGTCGACTATTCAGTTCTCCTTTTAATGTGTCTGTTAAACAAACTACTTTATGAAAGGAGAACAATAAAACTAATAATGGTTAATAGTCTAATAGATCATCCTGATCAGCTTCAGATGCAAGACAGTATGTAATACTGTCTAAATCAGTCACCTATTTCTGTACATTTGTGTGTGCATAACTGTAAAGAAGGATAAGTTGAAGCGACATAATTGTCTCTTCTTTCCGTCCATGCGAGTATGTGTTAATATGTATAAGTGTGTGCATGCTAGCAGATGCATAGTCTTCATACACAACTTCATAACAAAAGTACTGATATTATCTTCTTCAGATTCATTTGCATTTTTCTTTAATCTGTCAGGAAAATAAGGTAATTGGGATGATTAGTATACATATAACAGTAATGTGTATTTAATAGCGACGGAAGTTCAACAATACAATGAAAATCAAGGTTACAAAGAAGTAGTATTGATGGAGAAAAAGGAAGAGGAATGTTGAGAAACAGGAAGCCATTACTGTTGACCTTCAGTGGATGGGTGACATTACGACTATGATATTTGTTGTTTTCTTTTTGCACATGAAATTATTTAAACACACTTTGTTGCTTGTGTCTGTTTACATATTTGTCGGTTTACCTTCGCCGCCTACATGTTGTATCTTCTCAGCTTTGTTCACTTTATATCGTCATGCAAAAGGCTATTCAAAATATTTATTTGAGATACAACTTGCATAAGTTACTTGCGACACTCTACTGTTAACTCACTAACCGACCCCAAAAGGACTAGTGCTGTGACCAAAACCCCTGACATTACAGGTGCAGTACATAGCTTACAGTGTGTGTGTATGTGTGCATGCGGTTGTTGCTGATGACGTAAAATGTTGAGTTTCACTTAGGCTGCTTTCTATCACCAAGTGTAATGACACTTTGGTGTATTGCGTCCGGAGTTTTAAAGGTGATGAGAAGAACCGATCATTCACCGGGTAGTGGACGATTCATGCACATGCAGTAGGTCATTTAGGACCTGAATGACTCTTTAGTAAAGTGTTTTACTCTCTATTTGAAAGATATGTTGAATGCTTGAGGGGATATCAGTATTCTCAAAGTTCCAGATTTGCATTT